GGACACGGGCCCACCGAGCCCTCCCAAGTGGTGGCCGCTCGCGAAGTCCCGTCTGTGACTGACGACGCGATGCCGGACTTCTGGAGCTGGGTTGCCCACGTCGGGAAGTGGTGGCACGCCCACCTCAGGGTTAGCAGCAAGGCGAGCCCAGCTCTGCCCATCCCGGAGGGGCCAGCAGGAGCGGCCATAGGTGGGCAAGGCGCCTGGGGCTCTCCGAGGGAGTGCACGCAGAGCCAAGGCTCTCAGAAGGAGCCGCATGGGCTTGAAGGGAGGTGCAGGGTTAGGGGGGCCCGGGGCACCTCCCTGCCTGGAGGAGCCCTGAAATCCTGCCCAAGGCTGTCTCACAAAAGCTAGCACCTGGCACTGGCCCGCAGCCCTGCGGCGTGCTGTGTGGTAAGCACCGAAGCCCAGAGGTAAGACGGTGGTGGGGCTGTCTGGCACTGGGCCTGGGGGCCACGGAGACAGGAAGGCCAAGGGTCACGTGGCTCCGGGAGGGGCGAGGAGAGCCAGGCCCTGGACCCGACAAGGCTGGGTACAGGCAAAACTTACACCGTCTCCTGGGCTGGGCCTGACCTGCCCATGGGACCTGAGGCTGAGCTCCGGCCCCCAAGGCACACCTGTGTGCACCTGCTGGGGGCTTGGGAACGCTGCCCTCCCTCTGCTCAATCCCGCCCACGCCCACCCTGACTGCCCGTGGTCCTGGTACTCCCCACTTGCTGGGGGGACCCACTTCTTAACCCGCAGGCCCGACCCACGGGGGACATGGGGAGAGACTGCGAGGGGTGTGGGCACGCCCTGTGCAGGAGGGAAGACCCACATGACACACCCTAGCTGGACCAAGCCATGCAGCTGCCACCCCGCAGGGGGCCTAGGAGATCCAGGCAAAGTCCTTGTCAGGTTGCCCGGGCGGGCTGTGGCGCCCCCGTGGCGAGTCCTCATCGTCTTTGTCTTCCCCCAGCAGCGCATCCTCGTGGCCCAGGCCCACCTCATCCTTCCACTTGGCCACGTCCTCGTCCTCGTCCTCCCCGTCCCCTAGCTCCTCCTCACCCTCCCCTCGGGGGTCATCCGGGTCCTCCAGGTAAGGGCCGTCTCCAGAGAACAGCGCCTCTGGGGAGCCCTCACCGCCTCCACTGTGGTCCAGCGGCCCGGCCACGCCCCGGCCCACGCAGTCGGTGCACACGCCGTGGCGCCGGGAGCCATGCTTGATGCCCACGCTGGCGGCGGACACGAAGACGCGGCTGCACACCTTGCACACGTACTTCTTGTCCTTACTGTGCACCTGTGGGGACAGGGCGGTCAGGGGCTGGGGAGGGGCTCGGCCAGTGCCCACACGCCCACGTCCCCAGGGACGGCCCAGCTGGGCCAGGCCCAGCGACCACACACCAGCTGCCCATGCACCCCCAGAGGGCCCTGCATGCTCCTCACTCGGGGTCACAGTGCCCTCTATGAGGGGCGAGAGCCCTGGACTGCACGTCTGCCCCCATGTGTCCTGCTCAGGAAATGTGGACGGCATGGTTACCAGGTGCGAGGGGACGTGACCAGAGCTGCAGGCAGAGTCTGCCCTGGAAGGGCAGCATGGGGGTCAGGGTGAGAATGACCGGGCAGAGGTGACTGTCCCTGGGGACAGTAGTGGCTGGGGCTGAGGCTGGCAGCCAGGCAGCAGGGTCCACACCTCCCCCCAGCTGGCGACACCCCCTCAGCCTCCTGACCCATGTCCTCACGGGTGGAATGCAGACAGCGTCAACACACGGGCTGTTCTAAGGGTCAGCGGGCTCGGGCAGAGCTGAGTAGGGCCGACCAGTGAGGCTTGGAGAAAGCCAGGACAGATGGCCCCTGGCCAGCAGGCGCTGACAAGACGCAGCAGCTGGGAGGGCTGCAGGGTGAGGGCTGCAGAGGTGCAGAGGCGGGCCTGGGAGACGCGGCAGGGCCAGGGCCAGCGAGGTCTGCAGGGCCTCCACACCGCTCACAGGCGCCTGGTTCCCGACGTGCCTCCACACTCTGCCCACCCTCTGCAGACAGAGGCAGGACATGCAGAAGACCCCACAGTGATGCCCTGGTGCTGACCGGTCTCCGACCCCCGTGGGTACTGACGGCTCTCCAGACCCTCAAGCTCCCCTCAGCTCCTTTCATCCTCTGCCAGGCTGCAGCATGGGGGCGGGTGGAGGGTGCTGAGGGATGCTCGGAGGGCAGGCCCCTTCCTCCCCTCCGCAATTCCTCCCCTCTGAATCCTCCGACTCACAGCCAACAACAACAACAAAAATATTTTCAGGAGTGATTTCTGCTGTAGAGGACGTGAAAGCGAGAAGTCACCCTCAGGGATGGCCATGCCTCAGTCCCTTGTCCTCCACTTTCCTCCCAGGATTTGGGCGCACACATACACACACCCGGCTTGAGTTTCAAGCCACCGGGTCTGGGACTTAA